AGAGAGAGAGAGAGAGAGAGAGAGAGAGAGAGAGAGAGAGAGAGAGAGAGAGAGAGAGATTTGTTGCAACTCTATTGAGGACAGGACTAGTAGTTTGTATTGAAATATAATTATTATTAATAAAAACGCGTTAATTATATACAATATTATATAATATATAAGATCTAAAATAATTTGATTAATCGATAGTTTATATAATTATAATAATGATATTAATTATCATATAAATCCTAAATGTCATCAAAAAAATACAATAATAATAATAATAATAATAAATGAGACAATAATTCCGAGTAATCAATGGTTTGCATCTCTTGTCGTATCAATCATTAGATCCATCAGAAGAATATCATTGAAGAAAAAAATGAATCAAAAGTAAAACTAATAAAGCAATAAAAATCAGATTAATATCTAATATCACAATCAGTCGGGGGTTTTGTATGTCGAGAGTGCGGTATACGTATGCGTGAGTGTATGTGTGCTGTCCATCACTAGCGCGAGTCCACACATTACGGGTTGTGGCCGTCAACCACTTGGCGGCGATCGCCGCGTGTGATGGCGGCGATGGTGTCGGCGGGTGTGGTCACCGGCAGCTCTTCGTCGGCGTTGGCGGTGTTGGCGTTCGCAAACACGGCAGACATGGTTAGGCCGCACAGGCATGTCATCAACAGCGCGAACCCTATGAACGTCGACGTTATCAGCCAGAAGGCGAACATATAGACTGTGCGGTTACAGTAGCGGACACTCGTCCGGTCCTCGAAGTCCGGGATATACGCCCTGTATATCACTACACAACCTATGGATCAGATTATGAGACAATCAATTAACAAGTGTTTTAACAATAAGCTTATGTATACACTGACACCCCCTCGTCTCAACCTCCCCCCGGTTGGACAGGAGGGTAAGGGGTATGTGTGGGTAGAAGGGGAGGGGTTGGGGTGACAATAGGAAGTGTGTTATTTAGCACTCATACCTGCGACAAACCATCCGAAGAGAAAACAATTCAACAGTGACTCGTGTTTGCGGTACCGGAGCTCCATCTCGTCGACACCGTTCTGGCCGTGCGGTCCGCCAGCGGTGGCGGCGGCCTGTCGTCGACACTGCGCCCACACGTTCATCATGTTCTTGAAGATCCAGACAATGCCGCCGATGAACAGGAACTCCGGTATGTTCTCAACGCGACACTCGTTCATATAGATGGTGCCGATGATGATCATCGACAGCGGTATGACCAGGGTGAAACCGATGATCATCGTGCAGCCCACTGATAGTGTGGCAGCCATTGGATCCATTAGGGGTGACAGTCAGTGGTGGACAGGGAAAAAGACAGAGAGTGTTAGCAATAGTGTTGAGGTATGTGTTTGTGGTATGTGTTGGACACTCACATGTGCCAATCAACAGTAGGATCAGCTTCCGGACAAAGTCCCAGAGACCTGAGGCCGACTTGCGGGCCTCACGCACCTGACCAAACAGGGAGTGGTACGACGGAGGCGGCGCTGTTGTGGCCAATCAGAGTGAGAGAGAGAGTGTGTGTTAGACAATGTTTGAAACACAAGGCTTTGTGCCATACCTTCCGGATTGATGACATCGTCATAAGAGGGCGGCGGACCCGCCGTACGTGACATATACAGCGGAACCGTTCCCGGAATGGTTGAATAGGCCGGTGGCGGAGCGCCCATAACCGGGTGGCCACCAGTGGACGGCTGTTGTAGTTGTTGTGGCGGTTGTTGTTGCTGTTGCTGTAGTGGCGGAATCTGTGTCCGCGAAACGATGGTCACCAGACTCTCAACGGGCTGCCGGTGCTGTTGAGGGGTAACCATAGAAACTGTTAGTTATGTGATAATCAGTGGCACTGATTAGTGGCCAAACAATACAGACCTCAAATTGGCATAGATTTGTGGTGTCTTCGCAGCGCTGGTGATCGCCCGCTGAGGCAACTGATCCCGTGGTGATGGCTGTGGCGGTGGTGTTGGGCGTCGGGATGAGTGTCCCAACGGTGCCGGTGTTGTTGCCGTCATTCATAGTCCCGTAGCAATGAATGGTTGGTATCAACTGATGGTTACTGTGAAGTCAAATGATGTGATTAACAGATGTGTTGTGCAGTTTGGTTGAGATAATCGATGGTTGGGTTAACACACACTCAGTATAGCACAGGTTTGTATGGTTTTAATTGTTTGATTAATTATTAGTTAATTAATTGTTTCATTAATTTGTAGTTTATTTTTGTTGTTTTTATTTATCGTTTCATTTCATTAACGCTTTTATTTACGTTTGTGTCGAGTGTTGTGTCGGGCGATACAGTCGACGCTCGTTATGGGTAACGCTTAACGCGATGTTAATGGTTGTAGTTATTAATTATTGTGATTTAAACCATCCATGTAAAATTCAGATAAAGTTATATTATATCTATTAATTAATATCTATATACTTATTAATTTGTTTTATAGTTACAATGGTGAGTTTGATTCATTTAATTGTCCATGTTAGTTATATCGAGTGCTGTACTGTGAGTATGATGTCATACTCGGGCGTGTGTTTGTGTAGACATTGATAGTGTGTTTGCTATAATATTCAGTAACAAAACACTTGCATAGAGTGTTTGACAAACACTTGAATACCATTGTATTAGAGGGGGTGGTGTATACATTACGTAATGTTATTTGCCTTTAATCATCATTAAGTTAAATGTTAAGTTAGATGCATAGTTATAAAATGTTTTAACAGGCAAGTATTTAATAGAAATGTTGTAAGTGTTTTATTATCAAGGTTAAAATCTGTGTAGTACTGTAATATCAGGATATTATTTGTTTAAACGTCATGATTGTAGATTTTATATTGTAAAATAAATTATATTTGTACATGATTTAATTTAAGTTATTTCTCATAGTTTGTTACCATGGTAAAAAATTTAGGGGCATAACGAGGCCATTCCAAAATAGAGAGGGTCATTAATTATTTGAACGTGGTTAATGTTTGACCTTGGTAATTTGTATATATCATTCACAATAAATGTAAATAGTGTATGAATAATGTGCACTATTTTTTATAAATTTGCCCTACGTTGGCCCATTGGAATGCTATGGGCATAACAAATAATAATAATGTTTGTATAGTTGCAAGTATTTGTTTTATTTCATTAATTAGTTAATGAAAATACATTTAACTAAAAATTGAACATGTTTGGGTGCATCGGTAGATTACAAAGTGCGGGTAGAACACAAATACCCTGATAATTGCGCACCATGCCCGTTAGACAGAAACAGCCGGATACACATTGCATTGTGCACATCATCTCTACACCCATGTTGGCACAGGTCTTCGGACAGCTGGTACCGCAATCGGTGTAATGTTCCCACGGTCTATTACATATACGAATACCATGCACAATTCCTACATATTAAAGGTGGAATGCAATTTAGTATATTTGAAAATATCAATAAAAATAATGATGGTTAATTTATAATTAAATATAGGAGTTATGAACATTTTCAATGTAGATGTAGAAATATATAATTAGGTTTGTCAACCTAGAAGTATTTTGTTATGAATAAATTATCTATTTAATTTTTTAATTAATTTGTATACTAACCTGATTTTGCGTAAGCAATGCATAAAATTAAAGTAATAAATAAAACAATTTTCGCCATTTTTGACAATTTTAAATAACTTTTATAGATATAAAATATGTTTTTAAATAATTAAAAATTATAAAATTTATGTTATGATTAATTAAAATTACATAATTTTTGATACAAATAAAGTCCTGTACCGATCTAATAAGATCATTTTATGTAAAATAAATGTGTAATAACATTTAATTAAGAATAAATAGGACTTAACAATAACTTTTTAAATTAGTTAGATTACTTTGAAAATAAATATAAATATAAATTAGTTAAAATAAATAATAAGATTAGTGAAAAATATGTACAAGTTAGATAACTATTCAAACTGTTTATTTTATCTTATTGGTTAGTTTATTATACAATAAATACTCAAATTTAAATAAAAATTTAATATGATCAATTTTGAAATTATCATTAACAATCCGAGGGTGGTACGCAAAACCCTTCATAATCGCGCACGAGGCCCAGTTGACAAAAACAACCAGGCACACATCGCATTGTGCACATTATCCTTTGACCCCGGTTGGCACATGTCTTGGGACAGCTGGTACCGCAATTAGTGATTAACTCCCCTGGTCGATTGCATGGCCGTGATGGGAATCGTCCATTGCCCGGGAATGACACTGATCCCCAGTATTCTTGTCCACCAGATACAATTCCTGTTTAATGTAGAAAGATTTACATTTATAATTTAATTAAATTTGATTAATATAGATTTATCAATTATAATTTTGTTTATAAAGTGCATTGATTACTATTTTGGAATTTATACAAGTAACTTATGCTGTTTATTGTGGCGAATAATTTACCTATTTAATTTTTTATCGCGTTTTTACTAACCTGATTTTGCGTACGTAATGCATACATTAAAATAATAAATAAAACAACATTTGACATGTTATTTTTTATAAACTTTGATAGTTATAAATCTTATGTTTTATATAATAAATAACTTGAATTATAAATATTTTAATTTATACGTTAGTATTTTATTTAATTACAATATTTTTCAGACATTTATACCTTTGCATAAGTACTTGCTGTGTATTAAAAATATTGACATTATTTAAAATACTAAATAATAAATTAATTAAAAATAATAAAAATTGATTGATTGATTGATTGATTGAGAGAGAGA